CACCATTTCCTTAGTGTCCCCACTTAGGTCCTCCACAAGACTATAAACCCTCCCCTCCCCAGCCAGGCAGTGAGACTTCTCAGGCCCCTCTCAGGGACCCGTAAACCTCACCCAGAAACTCAGAATAAAAATTTCTCTTTAACCTCACTTTTGTGCATCCTCTTCTCCTTACTGTGGCCTTACAGTAAACTACTAACTAGAGGGTAGACACATATTAACTTGGGTATGGGGAAGACAAAAAAAAGGAGGAGGAGGAGGAAAAAAAGACTGGCCAGATTGAGGTTTAATTCAGAAAACTCATCCTTGCCATTTTACTCCTCCAGAACCATTCTCAGTATCAAATGTGTTAGGCTGGGTTCTCCAGACAGGCAAAACCAGTGAAATGTATATATGGTTGGTGGTTAGGTGCTGTTGACTCAGCGCTGACTCGTGGTAACTCTAAATACGAAGGAACAAAACACTGCCTGGTCCTGGGCCATCTTCAAAATATCACACAATGTTTCATTGCTGTTCATAAGGTTTTCAGAGACTTCCTTTTTTTCTTAGATGTGGATCACCCCGTCCTTCTTCTTAGTCTGTCTTAGTCTGGAAACTCTGCTGAAACTTGTGCACCATGGGTGAGCCTGCTGGTATCTAAAATACGGGTGGCATAGATTCCAGAATTACAGCAACATGCAAGCCACTACAAACTGAAAGATGAGTAGTGGGAAATGTATACATGTACAAATATGTAGAAAGAGATTTAATTCAAGGAAATGGCTCATGCAGTTGTAGAGGCTGGCAAGTCTCCAATCTGTGGGTCAGGTGTCAGGCTGCAGGCTTCTTCTGACTCATATGGTTGCAGCGGTTGACAAACTCAAAATCAGTAGGTCAGATTCCAGGCTGCTGGTTCACGGGGCTATGGGAGCTGGTGAATCCCAATTGTACAGGTCAGGCGGCAAGGGGCTGGCTCATGTCCCAAGAACTAAGACCAGATGATGACAAGTTGGATGCAGGATCCAGAGTGGGCAAGTGAGCTTTGTTAGAATGCTCATACATATTGGATGCAGACCATACCCAAGGAAATTCCTCTCATAACTGATCACATCATGGAGTTGATTGTATTATATTGCATTATAGAAAAGTAATTAGTGCAATGACTGCCAAACCACTTAGAATCACACCTAATCAAGTTGACACATATATTAACCATCACAACATTCTTGAAATTTTTTACATAGAGGATGATCATGTCATATACAAACAAAGATGATTTACTTGTTCCTTTCTAATATGTATGCCTTGACTCATTCATTTATTCATTATGCCTTATTGCACTGTTTAGGACCTCCAGTACAATGCTGAATAGAAGTGCTGAAAGCAGACATCTTGTGCTGTTCTCTATTTTAGGAGGAAAGCATTCTGTCTTTCTTCAGTATGATGTTAGCTGTAGGATTTTCATAAATGCCTTTTATCAAGTGGGGGAAGATTCCTTCTATTTCTACTTTGCTAAACAGTTTTTTATCATGAAAGGGTGTTAAATTTTATCAAATGCTTTTGCTGCAGGTATTAAGATGACTGTATTGGGTTTTCCTTTTAATCTGTTGAAAATTAGAATGTAAAACATTAAAGAGACCAAAGGATAAAATTGTCTACCTATTGATTGGTTGTTGTTGTTAGTTGCCAATGAGTTGGCTTTGACTCATGGCAACCTTACACACTACAGCATACACATCAACATGATCACTAGCATGTCTGAATCCTCTGTTGTGGTTACTGTGTCAATTCATTTCATTGAGGGTTTTCCTCATTATCGTTGACCTTCCACTTTATTCAATATGATGTTCTTTTCCAGTGATTTGCTTTTCCTAATGATGTGTCTAAAGTAAGTGAGCTGTAGTCTTGCTATCCTTATTTCTAAGGAGCATTCTAATTGCATTTTCTTCTAAGACTGATTTGTTTGTTCTTCTGGCAGTCCGTGTTATTTTCAATATTCTTTGCCAACACTACAATTTTCATGCATCAATTCTTTTTTGTCTTCCTTTTTCATTGTCCAGCTTTCATGCAGATATGAGGCAATTAAAGTGACCATAGCTGGATCAGACACTTTAGTTATCAAAGTGATATTCTTGCTTTTTAAAACTTTATAGAGGTCTTTTATAGTATGTTTGTCCAATGCAATACACCATTTGATTTCTTGACAGTTTCTTCCATGGAAATTAACTGTTGATCCAAGTAGAATGAAATAATTGACAATTCATTTTTTTTTCTCTACTTATTATGGTGTAGTTTTTTTTGTCCGTATCAACTCTAATGAATGCTAAAGAATAGTATTCAGAGCCAGCAAGCATTTCAGTAAACAGGCATTCTCAATATACCACTGAGGCAAACAAACTTTTCAAAGTGTCTGCAGGATAATTAGCAACATGTAACAAACACCTTAAAGAGATCTTTTCACACTGCAATTCCATTTTTAGGCATTCCAAAGGAGAGAATCAAAGATAATGAATAATGGCTTAACTGTAGGGATGCTCACCATATTTATAGCAGCAAAAAATTAAAACAATGAAATAGGCTAACAATAGAAGATAGGTTAAATATATGTTTTTATCCACATTATGCAGTAATTAAAATAGATGACATAGAATAATATTGTATCCCGGGGCAAAATACTTAAAATAGATTTAAAAAATTAGGTCACACAACAATGTATGACCCAAAATGAAAATGTAATAGTCTGGCTCCAGTTTTGATGTTTGACTGTTGACAGCTTTCAAACTCCCCATTTCAGTTTCAATTCCTCCTCTGTCCTTATCTGAACAAGTTGAAAAGGAAGCTTGGGAACCACCTCCTTGAAACCGGTAAAAGATCAAACACAAGTCCTGGCCTATGTGCAGAAGAACCCTTACCCCTTCTCAACCATCATAAAACCTCAAGCCAGTTGTCCCTCTCTGTTCTCTAAGGCCATTTTGGACCTGCTTGGGAGCCTGTCCTGCTCTCCCCAGAAAGCCTCATTATGTGAGTAATAAACTTTTCATACTGTGTGTGTGTGTGTGTGTGTGTGTGTGATCATCAACTTCAACATCTGAACCAAATTTTGCCTGGGGAAGTCCATCTCATCTCTATGGAGTGACTGAACAGTAAAGCAAGGAAAAAACAATGGAAGACATGTGCAAGTGGATGCTTATTTCCCAGACTGCTAGTGATGTCAGTGATGACATTATGGCTACACTGTTTTCTTTCCTGTTCTATTTGGTATTTTCTAAATTCCTACAACAGACCTCTACTCGTCTGATAAAATCATTAAGTATCACAAAAAGCAGAGAACAAAGCCAATCACTTGAGTACCAGTAACATGGCACCAATCCTGTTCACAAGGGAGCTAAGCACTCAATAGGGAAGCCTTCCTGTACTATGCCTCGTGAACACAGCAAAAGTAATAAGGCCACAAATGGGAAAATGGAATTCAGAATAAAACACTTAAGTGTTTTTAACCCCTTTTCTAGGTGACACTAGCTACTCAAGTCTGGAAAGGATACAAACCATTTCAGGCAGCAGCATTACAGAGAATCTCTTCTGCCCTCTCTCACCCAAGTCCTCTTCCAAATAAGGGACACATTTTCTTCATTGCTGTTACCACTATATAATGTAATTATTACTTACTTAAGGCTCTACCTCCCTCAATAGGCAATAAGCTTTTGGGTGTGAAGAACTGTATCTTTTTATAGTTTGTTTCCTTTTTGTTAATCATCACTTTCACTGCAAACAAAGGATAATCCCCTTTGGTTACATGTAGCAAACCATTCCCTTTGCAGACAGTCATTTCAGCCAGAAGCTCTGGACATGTGCAAGTGGTGCTTATTTCCCAGACTGCTAGTGCCTGTTGGGAACCCTGTCATGGTGGTGGTGGAGGGGTTTTACACTGCAGTATAAGGAAGAAAGGTGGCTATTGGAGGCATTGCTATAACTTAAAAAAATTATTTTGTCACTACTTGTAGAATTTTTATGTAGGAAGCATTAGCATACTAGTAAAAACTGTCTCTTTTTTGAGAACATAGTATTTGTATCATCTTTACTCTTTAAATAAAACATTTCTTCTAATTTTAATAATTAGTTACAAGTATCAAAGGCCCAAAGATTACACAGGGAGTGACAGTACTTCCTGTTCAATAACCTAAACAAGAAAAGGCTAGAGAAGAAAGGGGACCAACAGAATTTGGAACAACTACTTGATGGATATTAAAAGACCCTCAAAACTCTGGAAAACAATTGGAAAAATCTGAATAAGGTACATTAGATAATAATATATACCAATGTTAAATTCTGATTGTTATAACTGTTCTGTGCTTATATATGGGAATGTCCTTATTTTTAGGAAATACACACAGGCATTCAGAGATAGAGGCATTGTATCTGCAATTTATTCTCAAAATGATTTGATAAACCCAATGTGTTAAAATGTTAACACATGGGAATTCTGAGTTATATGAAAAAGACAAAAACAAAAAAAATAATGGAAGATACTGTATGAAAACATTTTATTGATAGTAACCTCTGGTGAGGCTGTTCTTCTAGGACTGAGGTTAGGATACAGTAAGACCAACATGGTTTATACCTGGGACAAAGTTACAAGGGGTCAAAGACTTGGAAGCTGAAGGAGTATATTCATGTGTTAAAATAGGCTGGGACTGAAAGATCCAGATGACGATAGAGCACCATGGCTATTCCTCAGAAAATAAATTCATTTGGAACACCAGCCAACAATGTTCCTAAAGCACATCCTGCATCTCACCTGACTGTAAAGGAGACTTTCTATTAAAGATAGTGGCTCCCCAAGTACAAGATGTACTGAGGACTCAGGATAGCAGGATACAGAGAAGGGTAGGCTGCGGCCCCTCATGAGGCTTCTGGAAGCTTGATCACCTGCCCCTAAATCCTCTCTGAACACATGCTGAACAAATTGCGCCAAATTCTGAATCTGATTGAGTGTGGTTGTGTGACTGAAAAGCTCAATCTCTTACCGTTCTATGACATAGAAGTTGTCTCCATCATCTCCTTGGTCAATGACATGCTCATCAACTTTCACTGACCTTTCAAACATGGCATCGAGCACTTGAGAAAGCTGTTCCTGCAGGGTACACATGAGGAGCAAAGATGGCGTTTACATTTGCTGAAAAAAAGTAGTGACTATGCTTATTTCTTAGAGCCCTGGAAGCACAGTGGTTAACCGAAAGATTGGCAGTTCAAATCCACCAGCTGGTCTCCAGGAGAAACATAGGCAGTCTGCTTCCATAAAGATTACAGCCTTGGAAACCCTATGGGGGCAGTTCTGCTCTGTACTATAGGGTCGCTATGAGTTGGATTTGACTCAGTGGCAATGGGTTTGGTTTAATTTTAAAATGACATTATAATGACAACCAAATGCAATATATGATCCAAGATTAAAAGATAAAACAAAAAAGCTATATGAACTTTATTGGGAACATTGGGGAAATATGAATATGGCTGTATATTAGGTGACATTATCATATATCAATGTTAAATTTCTTGGGTTTAAGAAGCATATTGTGTTAATATAAGAGAATATCCTTGTTCTAGGAAAATATAAAGTATTTAATAGCAAAGAGTCATGATGTCTTCAACATATTCACAAATGGTTCAGAGCAATAACAAAATAGTTTATGTATATGTAATATATATATATATATATATATATATATATATATATATGTACACACACACACATATCCTTTCTCTGTCTTGTTCTCTCTCTCTACACAAATACACACACACACATATCCTTTCTCTGTCTTGTTCTCTCTCTCTACACAAATACACACACACACACACACATACACAAAAAGTAAACATGGCAAAATGTTAACAACAGTCTAGGTAAAGGGTAATCGGTGTCCATGGTACTATTCTTTTAACTTTTCTATAAATTTGAAATTTAAATATAGAAATTTGTAAAATTATTTTTTTAAAATTGAAATAAATACACACATTAGAATGGCTAAAATTAAAAAGGCCGACAATACCAAATTTTGGTTAAGGACATGGAGCAACTGGAAATCTCAAACATAATTGGTTAAGCAAGTAACACACACATTATATGTTTTTTTTGCCAATTGTGCAAACCCTCTCCCCATGCTATTCTCAAAAGCTTGCTTTTCCTCCTGTTATATGTGTGAGTGTACTATTTACATGGGTGTGTGATTTGCAGGAAAAAAAAGAAAGTAACCACTCTGAAAAAATTTTTGGCACATTTCTATAAGCATACACCTACCTTTGGCACTGCAATTTTGCCTTCAGGTATTTTACCAAAGAGAAATTAAACAACAATAACAACAACAACAACAACAAAAAACAGGTTCACAGAAATAATTTGCAGAAAATGTTCACAATAACTTCATTAATAACAGCTAAAAACTAGACACATACCAGCTGTTCATCAACAGAAGAATGAATAAACAAACTGGTATTTTCATACAATGGAATACTGTTTTTGGGTGTCCTTGAATTGTTTTTAACTCATAGTAACCCCATGTGACAGAGTAGAACTGCCTCATGGGGTTTTCTTGGCTGTCACAGTGGTTAAAGAGCTTGGCTGCTAATAGGAAGGTCTATGGGTTGAACCCACCAACCACTCTGCAGGAGAAAGATGTAGCAGTCTGCTTCCATAAAGATTTACAGCCTTGAGAACTCTATGGGGCAGTTCTACTATGATTCAAAATTGACTCAGGAGCCACGGGTTTTTAAAAAAATCTTTATGGAAATAGATTGCCAGAACTTTTGTTGTAGTTGTTGAGCTTATATACATCAAAACACACACCAATTCTACAGTTTCTACATGTACAATTCCGTGACACTGACTACATTCTTTGATTATAAAACCATTCTCATACACTCCTTTCATGAGTTGGTCCTTCCCCATTAACATAAATTCACGGCCCCCAAAGATTCTTATCTAATTTTTCAAATAGTTTTTGTCAATTTGATCCCATTCAGGTAGATCTTAAAAGAGCATAATACTCAAGGCAGACATTCTTTACTAGATAAGGTAAACTACTCTGGCTTTAAGAAGACTTCAGGGGTATTTTTGGTTTAATGCTTAAAGATTATCTTAGGGCAACAGTTTTGGGAATTCATCCAGCCTCCACGGTGCTAAGGGGGATGAACTGATCTGTCAGTCTGTCACCCTGAGGTGCCTGTGTGTTGCTGAGGCTAGAGGCTATGCCACCTGTTGCAAATGCCAGCAGGGTTACCCATGGTGGACAGGCTTCAGCAGAGCTTCTAGATTAAGACAGACTTGGAAGAAGGAAGAGGCCATCCACTTCACAAAGAATTGGCTAGTGAAAACCTTATGAATAACAGTGAAACACTGTCTGATATACTATTGGAAAACTTTATGAATATCCCTGAAACACTGTCCAATATAGTGCCAGAAGACAAGCCAATCAGGTCAGAAGGCACTCAAAACATGACTGAGGAAAAGCTGACTCATCAGAGTAGACAACCTTAATGATACGGATGGAGTAAAGCTTTCGGGACTTCCAGTTGCTGATGTGGCATGACTCAGAACGAGAAGAAACAGATGCAAACATCCATTAATAACTGGAACATGGAATGTACAAAGCATGAATCTAGGAAAACTGGAAGTTGTCAAAAACGAAATGGAATACATAAAAATTGATATCCTAGGCATTAGTGAGCTGAAATGGACCGGTTTTGGCCATTTTGAATCAGACAACCATATGATCTACTATGCCGGGAATGACAAATTAAAGAGGAATGGTGTGGCACTCATCATCATAAAGAATGCTTCAAGAACCATCCTGAAGTACAATGCTGTCAGTGACAGGATGATATCCATATGCCTACAAAAAGACTAGTTAATACTACTATTCAAATTTATGTACGAACCCAAAGCCAAAGATGAGGAAAGTGAAGATTTCTACCAACTTCTGCAGTCTGAAATGGACTGAACATGAAATCAACATGTGTTGATTATCACTGGTAAATGGAATGCAAAAGTTGGAAACCAAGAAGAGTTACTGGTGGTTTGAAAATATGGCCTTGGTGACAGAAATAATGCTGGAGATTGCACGATAGAATTTTGCAAGACCAATGACTTATTCATCGCAAATACCTTTTTTCAACAATATAAACAGTGGTTATACACATGGACTTCACCAGAGTGAGTACACAGGAATAAGATTGACTGCATCTGTGGCAAGAGATGATAGAAAAGCTCAATATCTTCAGCCAAAACAAGGCCAGCAGCTGATGGTGGAAAGACCATCAACTGTTCATATGCACGTTCAAGTTGAAGCTGAAGACAATTAAAACAAGTCCACGAGAACCAAAATATGATCTTGATATTATCCCTCCTGAATTTAGAGACTATTTAAAGAAAAGATTTGACACACTGAACACTAATGACCAAACACCAGAGAAATTGTAGGATGACATCAAGAATACCATCCATGAAGAAAGCAAAAGGTCACTGAAAAGACAGGAAAGGAAGAAAAGACGAAAATGGATGTCAGAAGAGACTCTGAAACTTGCCATTGAGCAAAGAGTAGCTAAAGCAAATGGAAGAAATGGTAAGATAAAAGAGATGAACAGGTGATTTAAAGAGTAGCTCGAGAAGACAAAGCCAATTATTATAATGAAATGTACAAAGACCTGGAGTTAGAAAACCAAAAGGAAGGAACGTGCTTGGCATTTCTCCAGCTGAAAGAACTGAGGAAAAAAATGCAAGCCTTGAGTTGCAATACTGAAAGATTCTATGAGCAATATATATTGAATGATATGGGAAACATCCAAAGACGATGGAAGGAATACACAGTCACTGTACCAAAAAGAATTGGTTGAAGTTCATCCATTTCAGGAGGTGGCATATGTTCAAGAACCAATGGTACTGAAGGAAGAAGTCGAGGCTGCACTGAAGGAATTGGCGAAGAACAAGCCTTCAGGAGTTGACAGAATACCCATTGAGATGTTTCAACAAACAAATGCCACACTAGAGGCACTCACTGGGCTATGCCAAGAGATCTGGAAGACAGCTACATGGCAGGCTGACTGGAAGAGATCCATATTTATACCCATTCCAAAGAAAGGTGATCCCACAGAACATGGAAATTACTGAACAATATCATTAATATCACATACGAGTAAAATCTTACTGAAGATAATTCAAAAACAGTTGCAGCACTATATTGACAAAGAACTTCCAGAAATACAACCTGGTTTCAGAAGGGGACGTAGAACAAGGGATATCATTGCTGATGTCATATGGATCTTGGCTCAAAGCAAAGAATACCAGAAAGATGTTTACTTACATTTTATTGACTATGCAAGAGCGTTCGATTGTGTGGATCATAGCAAATTATGGATAATGTTGAGAAGAATGGGAATTCCAGAACATTTAATTGCACTCATGAGGAAACTGTACATAGACTAGGAGGCTGTCATTCTAACAGAACAAGGGGATACTGCATGGTTTAAAGTCAGGAAGGAAGTGCGTTAGGGTTGTATCCTTCCACCATACTTATTCAATTTGTATTTTGAGTAAATAACCCAAGAAGCTGGATTATATGAGGAAGAATGTGGCATCAGGATTGGATGAAGACTCATTAACAACATGCAACACTAAGATGATACAACTTTGCTTGCTGAAAGTAAAGATGACTTGAAGTACTTAGTGATGAAGATTAAAGATTACAGTCTGCAGTATGGATTACACCTCAATATAAAGAAAACAAAAATCCTCACAAATGGATCAAAACCAGCATCATGACAAATGGAGAAAAGACTGCAGTTGTCAAGGACTTCATATCACTTGGTTCTACAATCAACACCAATGGAAGCAGTAGTCAAGACATCAAAAGACATAATGCATTGGGCAAATATGCTACAAAAGACCTCTTTCAGGTACTGAAGGGCAAAGATGTCTCCTTGAAGACTAAGGTGCACCCAGCTCAAGCCATGGTATTTTCTATCACCTCTTATGCATGTGAGAGCTGGAAAATGAATATGGAAGACTGAATAAGAGTTGATCCTTTTGAGTTGTGGTGGTGGTGAAGAATACTGAGAGTACCATGGATTGCTAAAAGAACTAACAAATCTATCCTGGAAGTTAACTATGGGGAGGAAGTGAGAGGGGAGTTGTTGCATTGTGGGAAATTGCAGTCAATGTCATGAGACAAGTGTGTGTGAACTGTTGTATGGAAAGTAAATTTGCTCTGTAAGCTTTCACCCAAATCACAGTAAAAATTTTAAAAGAAAATTCTTTTAACTTTGCTGTATGTTTATCTCCATGAAAAATGTTAAAAAAAAATGTAATTAAATCTGAAAAATCACAGTCATAATGTTTCAACACCAAAATGGTATTTTCCAAGACTAAGAAACTCTGAACATTAGAATGATACAGCAACTTCTCTTAGAGCAACTCTGATGGTAAAAATTTATGATAAGCTTTATCAAGCTTTTTTAATGTGGATAAAGAAAAGAATCTCTTTTCCATTGATATTGATAGGTCATCCAGGGAAAACAACTGACAGATCAGTCTTTCTCACAACCTATCTTTTCTTGAGCTTACATCCTTGTTTTATTCAGCCTCAGACTAACAAGCTCTGAAGAAAGTTCTGGCTATTTCTGTAAATTACAAAACTGCTATATGGACTGGCTTATAGACACCAGGGATGGTTGATTTCCTTGACTGATGGATCATGGCTCGTGTCTGACCAGTCATACTCCCAGAGAAGGCTATGAGGATGTCCTCAGAAACTTAACGTGCAGGACCTGGATAGCATGGTATGGTAGTTAAGATTATGTGTCAACGTACACCACTTACCTAAACTAACACAGACTGAAGTGAAAAATTTGAACAGGCCCATCACAAAAGAAGAAATTGAACAGGTCATC